AAGGGAAGGGAAGGGAAGGGAAGGGAAGGGAAGGGAAATAAAAATAAAAATACTATTTTTAAAAATACTATTTTTTCCTCATAAAAAAAATCTCCATAACCTTAAAAAAATTCTCTCCCCAAGTAAACTAAAAAAAGCATTTACAAAATAATAAACTAACTAAAAATCTTAAGTTTAGTTCCTTTACATTATCAATAAAAAAAACAATGTGAGGAAAAAAATTGTTCTAAAAAAATTATTTTAATTCTTACTACTTTTTCTCCTAATTACTTTTAATAAAATTTTCTTCATACCCTTTTAAAATTTGAAACCTGTTTTACCTTTCTCCTCATCTTATCTCACAACAAAAAAAAGTATAATAAATAATTAACCAACACCAATTATATTCTTTAATACATTAACCAAAAAATCTCAAAAAAATTTAAATTAGCAAACCAAAACCACTATACAAAATTAGTGTTTCTATCCAATTGGAAACGAAGACATTAGCAAAGCACATTAAACCTTAGCAAAGCACGTTAAATGAGCAGATTAAAAAAGAAACAAAAAAAACCAGCACAAACCAAAAAATACCTGGTGAGCTCTTCTTTAATCTTCAAGGGTTCATGTGGGTAGAATTTCACTCTAAAGCACATGGTATATGGTGGATGAGCTGAAACATTATAAAGAAAAAGCATGAGAACCATGGGAAACAAACATTGCTTAAGCCACTCTGAAGGAGTGACCTTAAAGTCACTTACTAATGGTTACTTTAGGCAGAAATTCAAACAAGAGCATTATTATATATGCTTTATTTTGGGGTGGCCTTTTTTGGCAAATGATAAGTAGTAAGCAATGATAATACTACAAAATTGAAGAAATCATTTAGTTAATGAAATTAAAGACAGTGGAAATATTTCTGTTCCCAGTGTTTAATAAGTTTATAGTACCTAACTCTGAGCAATGGTATCAATACCAGGCCTGATGTACAATCTTTTCAATAGAAAAGAAAGAAAGGGAAAAAGAAAAGGGGAAAGGGGAAAGAGGAAAGGATCACAACAACAGGAAACATTTCCATTCTGCAATCAATGCCTCTCAGGCACTTTGATTCAGAGCAAAGTGTAGATCTACAATATTCTAGTTAGTTTTATTATATTTTGGTCTTGATATATTCTCAATGTAGAGAATTTTAAATTTCCAAAACCTTGAAGAGAGTGTGCTTTTACAGCAGGAGAAGAGGAAAGCAGAAGAAAAGGGCAAGAAAAAATTACAGAAATAAAATGGAAGACAATACCAAGTGAAATCAGTACTTTATTATTTAATTGTAAATTATAACATCAATTAGTAAGCTACCAGAATATTTTACTGTACCATCTTCTTAAGCTTACCAGTTCTTAGGTTTGTATAAACATCTTATGGTGATTAGTTCAACAATCATGATACTCTTCAAGCTAGTTTGACCGCAGTATTTACATGTATACTGCAATGTTCCAGAAACCCACCTCTAGCTATCACACAGTTCCATGTCATGTACAACAGCAATAGAAAATAAAAATGAGTTAAATTTTTTGTTATGTTTGGTATTTTTTGGAAGGCTCAACACTTCCTGAGGATAAAGGAATATTTTTCTCTTTCAAAATCTCACACTGTACTTAATTTAAGTACAGTAAGTCTCAACAAAAACTGCTGATTTCACTTTTTCTCCTTGTATAAATAACTGTTCTTTTAAGACACAGTGAGAAATTTCAGAAGTGATAGGAATGAAAATACGAAAATACAGGAAATGTAAAAAGCAAGTAATCAATAATAAATAGAAATTAAGGGGAAATGAAAAAAAAAATAAAGCCTTAATTGTTCTCTAGAGATAATTTAAACTTGCACAGTTTTCAGATCTGGAGAAGCCCTCTGAAGGATAGAGAAACACTCGGTCTGTTTTCTGTGGAATTTGGTATCCTAGATGTGACTGTAGCATTGCCTTACAATGGACTGACTGACTGGAAACAGTCTGCAAAACAGAAGACATTGCTATGTCTTCACTGCCCTGCAACAGGAAAATAGATGGTAAAGTGAACTCACTGTCCTCAAAAGGAAAGCAGCCATGTAGAAACTCACTAAGGAGTCATGATGCCTAGACACAGCAAAAGATAACTTAAGTAATTTTAAATGCTTCTGTCACTCCTCAAAAGTCATGTTAAAACTAAGCAAGGGAGGAAAGCCTGCACTTTTGGAATACTGTTCCAGTTAAAAAACATGACAGGAGAGACAAGCTATATTAAACAAGCAAGAGCTCTTCCCATGGGAAAAAAAAAGGGAAAAAAAACCCTCTATTAAATGTTTTGTCAGATTTAGAATTAGTTTGGAAATAGCAATGAATATGTAAGAATAGCTAATGCATGTGTCTTCGGGGCCCTAGCAAATACAAGCTTACTGCAAGACTCCAAAGATGCACTGAATTTTACCCAATTTTCCGGATGTCAATTTAAAAAAATTGAAAATTTGGCAGCAGTTAAAATAAATAAATAAATAAAAGTTATATTAGAAGAGTTCTATTCTGGCAGTTTGTAGTAAACACATAAAAGTATCGCCTGTCCTATATGCAAAGACTATCACAGTGAGAAAATTACAGCATACATTGCACCATAAAAATATCCCACATTCATAGGAAAGGTTAAAGTAGGAAATGTTTTATTTGAGCAGAAGAACAGTATTGACAAAAGTACACACCAATGCACAGGACATGCAGGAGATTTGTCAAGACAGCTTAAAACCTGTTCCTCAAATCTTTTCCTAGACTCAAGCTCCTGTAATAATATTCCTCCTCCGCAGTGCAGCAATACTATACAAGTCTGCTGCAGCCTGCTAAGCCAGGATTCCTTCTCTATTGCTGCGCAAGAATGGAACAAAAACAACTTGCAGTTTGAAATGGTAAAAAGAATATCAACCTATCCATCTAATTCATCTGTGGAGATAAGAATGTTCCCTGCAATTATAGGAGATCCTCATTTTCTGTTTCTTATTCTCAGTTGGAAAGCCAGCCACAATAAACATTTGAATGGGGAAGGAGGGAACTCCCAAAGATATCCATTTTATCCTCTATCTTAATTTTAAGGTAGATTATAAGCCCAATGTTCTTCCAAAGGGATATTTGATGATATGTAAACTTTTAGCAAGGCCTTTTCCTCATAGATTTTACCACACTGGAGATACATGCATGAGGACTTCATGTTCTGTCTTTGGTTTCTCATAGTGGAAACCAAGACAGCCATTGAATTTTATCAGCTCAGGAGATGTGATTGTCAAGTCAGGTAATTTTTCAATTCCTTGAAAATAAAATTACTTTTGACCACTTACATATTAAAGTGGAAACATTAAAAACAAACCTTCCCAAAACAGAGCAGAAGTTGAAGAAGTACATTTCATCAACACAAAACTATCAAGTCACATAATCAGTTTTTCAGTAGCTGTATCTTATCAGCCTTTTCTTTCAGAGGGTCCTTTATCTCTCAGATAAGAAGCAGCTGGCATAGCAAAATGCTCGAGGCTCTGTCAGAATTTTCTACCCTCTAAGTTCACTTTCTCACCAAAAACCATTCACAATTACAATAATTACAGAGGACTATAGTGTGGAGAATAGTATTGGAAGCAAACTCCATTGAAGCAGAACCATTAATTTGCCAGTTTATTATGTTAACAGTATGTAAGAGGTGAAATAAAAAGTACAAATAAAATCATTTATGTTAAATGCTGAAACAAGTCATGATCTAAACCCTCATGAAGGAGGTACACACAAAGCGTAGTTTTCAAGGCAACTGGTTGTATGTTTTTAAAGTTTTTTCACTTACTAAGATACAATATTCTATGTACATCAAAGAGGAAGGATCTCCCTAAAGTACTCCCAAACCTACCAAACCATGGCAAAAACGAAGAGGCATATGGGAGATGACTCCCTTGGTACAGGAATCAGTAAGTAAAGGACTGAGTCTCGCATGAACTATTTTTAAGCACTCTACAAAAAAGTCCACACATTTGTATTACCATTTTCTCCATAGAAAAATAATCTGAAATATAATAAAATATTTATATGTGCTGGTTTTGGCTGGGGTAGAGCTAATTTTCTTTGCATTGGCTGGTATGGGGCTATGTTTTGGATTTGTGTTGAGAATAGGGTTGATAATACAGAGAAATTTTTCGTACTAACACCCTGGTGAAGAGACTATGAGTGCATGGCAATTTGGGAGGAGACACAGACTGTGCGGATGATCCCAGGTGACCAAATAAATATGCCAGATGACATGGCATCATGGTTCAGTATATAAAGTAGGTGGAAGAAAGAATAAAGGGAGGCTTTTGGAATAATTGCCTTTCCAAGTCACTGTTACATGTGGTGGGGCCCTACTGTCACGGAGACAGCTGAAAACCTGCCTGCTGAACAAATCCCTTATTTTGCTTTGCTTGTGTTGCCTTTCCTTTCCCTAAAAATTGTCTTAACCTATGAGTTTTCCAACTTTTACCCTTCTCTCACTGACCCTGATGATGGGGGACTGAGCAAGTGGCTGTGTAGGGCCAGTTGCTGGCTGGGGTTAAATCACAACACTATGAAATATAAAAATAGTTTTTTAAAGCTGTTGAAAAACTTGATTGAAATTTTACAAGTGTCAAATAAATAGAGAAATATGGAAGATTCTCAGCTGACATTTTTTGGAAGATTTGTTTTTCACAATCTCCTTTACACAAAGCATAAATGCAACCTTCTATAATGCACTGCACTGGCAGTGTCAGGGTTTTTTATATTAAACATGAAGTACAGATAGATACTGAAAGGAAAAGCAGATGTTAAAATTATCTTCACAGTCCTGAGAAAGCAATATTGCTGGATACTTCCTTTACCTCTCCTTGATGTTGCATATTCTCTAAACTACAGATTCCTACACAAAGTTAGTAAAATTTAAGAAACAAACAAACAAGCAAGAAAATAATTACACTCAAATAGTCTTCATGTTCACTATTTCTGTAGAAACATCTCTGGGAAACCATTAAGACATAGTTGTTTCCGTATACCTGCTTCCTTTCCAGATGAATCAGGTGTTCATCCATACTCCTTGCTGAGCATTTTTAAGACAGACAGAACATTAGTCACTGTTTTTATGCACAAGGGATACCTGAGCTATCATAAATCTCAAATTAGGGCTCTTTCACATTGCATTCATTAGTTACAGAACAACACAGGGCAAGATAGATTTTTGTCAGGTGTTTATAATAAAGCTTAAAATGCTGTTATTAAATCTTCATGAGGATCGCAGAATACACAGCATTCAGATTAGTGCCTGACAGATCACACAAAACTCCTGTTCTCATTGTACATGTATTTATGAATCTCATATTTGAATAAACTTTTCTTTACATTTGTACTACAATCCCCTGGCTCATTCCTCCTCCTTTCAGGTTTTAGGACAGCACTAGAGATCATGGAAATTAATTGAAAAATTCCAATGATCTGACACAGGAGAACATCCTTGTAGCATTACTCTTTTAGATCATAGAACCATAGAGTGGTTTGGGTTTGAAGAGCCCATAAAGATCACCTAATTCCAATCCCTGCTGCCACGGGCAGGAACAGCACTAGACCAGGTTGAATCTGGCCTTGAGCACCTCCAAGGACAAGACACCTACTACTTTTCTGGGCAACATGTTCCAGTGCCTCACCACCTTCACAGTAAATAATTTTTCCCTAATATGTAACCTAAACCTGCTCTCTTTCAGTTATGCAAGGCAACAAGAAAAACATGAACATTTAGAACTCCTGCACATCAGAGCAACAGAAATTATTCTGTTCCACTGTCATCAAGAACAAAACTCATATATTGGGATATTTCCCACCAAGCAGGTTACAGGAGATCTGCATATTATTAAGCAGAATAATCTTTAAAAGTAATCAAAAAAACAGCAGGAGAGAAAGTGCATGGGAAAATTCTCCTTTACTTAAACATTAGTGTTAATATGACTCAGATTTTACACCATAAAATTCCTAGAGAGAAAATGAGCAACAAAAAAAGTAAGACTGCCAAACAGAGAACTCTGCTGTCAGCATTTGGGAGAGAATAACACTATGCACAAGAACATGCAAAAGAACAGAAAGATTATTTTAGAAGTTCTGTATCCCAAACCACAAAGATACAGCTTTCTTTGGCAGCCTTCCAGAGAGTTTTCCATCACACACTGCTTGCAGCCGCTGATCATTGGTCACCAATTGGCTTCAAGCTGTACAAACAAGACTAGCAGTGGTTCAGGACGTTTCTCGGAAACCGAATTTTTCCCTCTCAGGCAAAATCAGTGGTAAAAATGGCTGAGGCACAGACCTAGACTTTACACATCATGTTAAAATATGAACACTACAATGACAATGGAAAATGCAAAGGTAGATGGTGAGATAAAAAAGATACCCTGCCTTCATTCTTTTTATGGGGCACCAGAACACATATACATATAGTTTCATATGTGATAAGACAAAATATAAAATTTTAGAAGATTCTTCCTGTCATATAACAATATTACTAAATATGAACTTAAAGCAATCTTTTCAAAAGCCAAAGAAATTAAAATTGTACCACATCACACAAGATCCTATGAATACTTCAGAACCTCAAGGATACAACATTCTAGTCCACAAACAGAAATGCATTGTTGCCTGATTATAAGTCCTGTACAATTTGACTATAGAGAGAGTATGCCTGAGTGATTCATGTACTGCTGAGGCCCAGGAAAGCTACTACCTACTAAAATATACACTAGAATACTTCTACTAGTCAAACTTCTTCTGCTCCAAATATTTGTCAATATTGAGCTTAATGAATAAACAGGATAAAAAACTTGCTGCTCTGATGGAGGCAAAGGAAGCTTCCCAAAAATGGTAGATGAGCTCTAGAACACAGCATTTTTGAAATTTTTTCTGCACTTTCCCAAGTGCTTCACAATTCTATGTAAATCTAAGCATTCAACTGAATTTAGATTTTTTTTAATCATTAGAGATTATCAGAGAAAATTATTAATTATTTCCTGAATTCCTTAATGAAAAGAAACAAAAGAAAACATCCATTTAGTGCAGTCACTGAATACCTTTCTGGCATAATTTCTACCAGAAGTCACATTATGTATGCATTAAGTATGTGCTATTAACCAGTCACTTCATTGCTTTAGATTTTAGATTTTCCACCTTTTACTAATTTCAGTCCTCACTTTTGCCACCTGACACTGGGCAGTTTGCGAGTCAGTATCAATAATTTCTTCTGAGCTTAAACCTTTTCATAGTAAACTGAATATTTTTAGATCAAATATGAATTAACCTTCTTCCTTTAGAAATTGTTTCATTTTCTACATTAATATAGCCTATTTTTAGAAGAACAAATCAAAAGGTTCTTGATGACAAATTCATACCAAAATGTCCTTGAAACCTGTGGGAGCATAGTCTTCATGGATTCTACACATGCACAAAACACATATGTATAGCTTTATTTTTTTTTTCCTTAAAAGGTTGTTGTAGCAACTGAAATCTTTCTTCTGTGACATAAGAGAGAGTTAACTTACACTAGTTTTTTTCATTGTAAGTTGCCAATCCTATAGTTAAGTCAACTTTTGTGTTCTAAATCTAAGGCTGGTAACAAAAATCTTCTGTTAGCATCTCATTCACTTTGGCTGTTGTTCTTAAGACCTTTTCGCCATGATAAACAACCTCATGCTAGATGCATTTTATTTTTCATTTTTGCTATGTATTTATTTGGTTTTGGAATTTTGATTAGGATTCTATCACAAAAGCCACAGAAATCCTCTGATGACACCATCAAATCACTACATATACGGAATTCATGGACTATCATCTATCACATCTAGGCAGCATCTATATGCAGGAAAGGTTGTTTTGAATACATTAACACATTATCAGCACATCTGTTGGCAGAGCCCCTGCATGTGTTGCTATGCAAAGCGCACAAGATCAATGAGTCCTTATACTTTGACGAATAAAAGCAGTAACATAAATGCAGGCCAGAGGATACCTTCAGGAAACTGTTCTACTTTTGATAACACATTGGAAGGAAGCAAGAGATTAAGATAATTTACAATTATTACAATTTCTGTTCTTCCCTATTTTCTTCCTTTACTAGCATTCCTGAGGAGCACAACTTCATTCCAATTTGACATTCTTGAACTTAATTATTATTGGATAGTACTCCAGCTAGCTAAACACTAGATATACAAGTTCACATTGAATATGCCTGATATATGTGTGTTGGCATATGTACACATGTATGCATATATGGCATGCATGCATACATATTGCATTAATGGAAGAATGCCTTGAAGTATTCCTTATAGTGCAGTCAACATCCAGTATCAACTGGTTTTGTGCATTAGACAATCTCTTAAGCCTCACAATATTTTAAAGCAAATACATTGTCTCCCACACAAAAGGCTCTTTGTACTTATGCTTAAAACAGAAAACTGTATACAAGCAATATGAGGATAAAATTCTCCTGCATTTCATCAGATAGATAGATAGATAGATAGATAGATAGATAGATAGATAACTGCTAAGACACAACTTCTAATGCACCACGTCAATTCTGTGGAATTGCCACATAAACTATTTTCTGCTGCTGGATATAAGCTTCTGAGTACAAAGCAGTTCTGTTTCCTGAAGAGGTCTTCATAGTTGGACTATTTAATGGAAACCCTAGGGCAGACAGTAACATTTCCAAAAGATAATTAAAATAATACATTCCTGTTTTAAAGACACTTTTTAAAATACTGATCTTAAGTTCCCCCCACCTGTGGCAGAAAGCCCACCACTTAGCCCACAGTACCTGAATTTTCTGGACAGTAACAATGATCTCAAGCCAATGCTCTGCATTTTCAGAAAGCAAGGGGCAGCAGAAAGAAGGACAACCAGAAAAGACCCAGAAGCAATTGCCACATTCCATTTTTATTACAATCTCCCAGTGGCTGATGGCATCTGACTGAAAATGAGAGCTGGAACAGAGAGGTCTTCCAACCAGATCTGCCATCCCAGGTCTGGCATCTGGCTGTAGCCACGAAATGTAAGGAAAAGCTTTTGAACACTATAAGATGGCAAGATCAAGGCAGCATGGACCTTTTTACACTCAGAAACAAAGCTTATTCTAAATTACTGCATGGAAGCACAAGAAAACCTTCAGTTATTTAAAAATCATTTTAAAATATGAGCTTTCACAACTTACATTTCATTTGCTTGAAGATGGACTTGTTGGGCTCAAGCCAGTGCTGAAAAGACAAAGCAGAGAGCAGAGGTTAATATGGATCACAATAGACAAAAATAGCCTTGTAAATGTATATGGTACCAAAAATGAGAAGTAGGAATTTTGTTTTACTGAGACATACATAAATGAGAAAAGCACCTCATACTGGAATATACTGTATAAGCATACTTGATATCACCAGTGCCTGTAAAATACACGTAGTTGAGACAGAAATAAGACCAATATTTCAAAGACACATTTAAAGGGGACAGACTGTAGTCCTCAGCTTGCAGTTGACATTTTATTCTTATACTTTTAGCATTCTTTTCCAGAAGAATGATCATATCAGACAGTAGAAAAGAATATTCAGAAACTTTAACACCGTCTCTTCATTAGTGTTGTCTTCTACATTTCTTAAAACTGAAGAATGTCTAAGTACTATATCCTTAGTCAAAACACACAGGACACAATTGTTCTCTTCTAGCAATAATTAAAAATCTCAAGGAAAAAAAATTGCATTTTTCCATGAAATGTTCACAGTATGCTAATCATAGCTAATGTACGGCAGAGAGGTATGGATGCTTATCTGTAGGTCCATAAATTTACAGGAAAATTTTCAGGTTGTTTTTTTTTTTTTAAATTCTGTGAGAAAATAAACTCAGGTGTTTCTGTGACCAAAAGTTAGGCTCACATTTTAGTTAGGAGCCTTAGCCCTGCTGGCACTAGCTGACCTGCTCAGGAGGATGTTTTGTCAGACAAAAGAACATGCTGATATTCAAGTGCCACTTCCAGCCAGCAGATTTTGTATTAGTATTTTTCATTTAAGCAAAAATCTTCACAGTAATATGAGATTTGTGCTGTGGAAGCAGCTGGTCAAAAAGCATAGCATTCAGTTTTAATAAGCATACTCAACACTGGAAGGCCTTGCACTAAGGAGGTTTCATTTTTAACTCTTTCATTCTAACTCTAAAAACCTTTGGTCAACTGCAAAAATAAAACCTAGCATTTATTAAACCATATTCAATACTTAAAATATAGTACATGGGCCACCATTTCTCTTCATAACCTTTAGTAATTCTACTACAGAGAAAGGCCAGGGGTATGTATTTTGTAGGAGTTGTTAATAACTGACAGAAAATTATTACTTTAAAACTTATGACATCTCAAGAATTCAGATGAAGTCAGGATAACTGCAAATTAGTTTTCTGAAAGAGTACTTTTGAAAAAACAAATACCTTTGAAAGAGCATTTTCAAATATCTCTGATTTATGTGTTTTGGTTGCTCAGAAACACACACATGTGGTGTCACAGTGGTACTGGAGATAAGCTGTGCAACGTATTTCTATTTGAAGTTCACTTATCACTGAGAGACTGATGTGGAATCCTCATACAAAGAAAACAAAAAGCCAACAACCTCAAACTTCAAACAACAGCCAGAACACAACAACCCTCCAACATTTCTTTACCTATTCTGTTTTCCCAGTACCTTTCTTTTTAGGGGAAAAGATGAAAGAAACATAACTGAATCAGCAATGACAGTTTCACTGAGTTACCAGAAATATCTAGCTCATTTCTTTTTTTAGATCAAACATATAAATTATTTATATGTTTCACTCTGAATAATGGGGGCTGAGAGCTGCTCATAAAAAGATAAAGACAATCTGATTTAAGGATTCTTATACAGTCCACAATGATTTAGAGATACATAATCCAGAATGAATTCACAGATAGGAAACCAAGACAAACAGGTATACAAGTCCACTTTCCACAGACAAAACCCACATCCACCAGGATCAGGCCAGTCCTAGATGAAGATTCAGACAGCAAAGGGGGACTTGGACAGTGAGCCATCCTGTACTGCTCCCAGGAAACTGAAAGTTAAGAGTATTCACAATTTTCATCTAGAAGAAGCACAACATAGTTTTCTTGATATTTCTTTTTGAAATACCGAGCTGGAATATCAGCACAGACGAGATGAGCATTTAGAACTGTTTGGAAAAGTTATAACAGTTATAAAAGTTACTTAGTATAACAAAGCAGTCAGAGATAAAAAAAGGCAAATTTGCAAATATGAAACCCTGATACCAACCATGTGAATAATAAAAGAAGGGGAATATGGATGAAATTCCTCAAACCCCCAGGAATGCAGATTTACCTAAGACGTCCAAAATCAAACATGTTTCACTAAGACTTGACCTTCATGGGTTAAAAACAGATTGAAAAAACACCAGCAATTAAGCAATCTAGGTTTTCACATGGAGGTCATGGAAGCACAGGCAGTTTCTACAAGCTCAGATTTCTGCTGTGACCTTCTGTTGGTGGAAGATTGCAAACGTATATACAATTCAGCAGAATCTTCCAGAAAACAGAGGAGTTACTTTATAATTTGTGGAGACTTTCAAAGACACGGCAATTAGGTACTTAATGCTCTCTGACTCTCAGGGGAAGATAAACACCTAGTCATTGCTATTATTTCTGGAAATAGCTACCCCTATATTTGTTTGCATATTTTCAATTTGACTTTTAGGAAAGATTTTCCCCTGAGTACATATCTTTCAGCCTTACAGCATCAACTATTAATAATTAATACCTGTGCTTCATCTCTACTATACAGTATCCAAGCTCTATTTATTCCAAGATTAATTAGCTGTTATAGTTATGAGGAGATTAAGGCTCCTATAAATTAATCAAAGTGTTTCTGCAGAAACTTTAAATTGAAAAGTATTTGGTTTTCCAAAATGTTTTTTTTTTGTGTAGCAATATTTTTTTAACAATTTTCCTGAAAAAAAATCTTAAGTGAATGAATATATAACCCTTCAAGTTAGCTTGTCAAGATAAAATTTAAATATTCAGCTGCAAAAAAATGTCATTAATACATCTGCTACATTGTCGTGCAAGAAGGCCACAGATGTTTCCAACTGTTCTTTGCAAGGAGTTATTGTACCCTTTATTGTACTTGATAAAACTAAGAAAAAACCCAAACAAAAATAGTCAGATATAAAATTGTAACTAGAGACAGTAATCTTTTATTTCCTTACTAACACTAAATTTTGCAAATCAGGAAGAGAAAAGAAAAAAAATACTCCAGCAATTTTAAGCAGTTCATCTCTGTCTTGTGTATTTGACATTGTAGTCGACAAAGACTGCTTTAATTGAAGGATGGCCTACACCCTCAACCCAGCTTGGCTTTATGTGTGATAGTACTTACTGATCACCAGAAATCATTCCTGCAGGGGCTGAACTTCTTGTTTCATTGAAAGCATGTTAGCAACATGGTTGCTGCCCAATGGGGAAGAAAATACTTCAATCCTAATCCTGCTAATACATTGCCAAGCATCCTGCAAGGAGACTCATGCTCACTTGTTTCAGTAGCTGCTGTGTATCTCAGAGATCAGACAGGTGCCCTCACAGAAAACAGACGGATGAGAGAAAGATACATAGAAATCCTGAAGGTCAGTCATGGGATAACTAATGAGTCTTGGTGCTTCAAGTGCCAGTGATGCAAACTATCATAGGTTTCATTTTTGGTGCTGGGATCCTAAAATATATTGAGCATTGCCTTCTGACTAAGATCTCACTGGAAGCATACGCTGTGTTTTAGACTAGTGCAATTTTTACTTTGTAAGTAGAGCCTTCATCTTTGATCAGCCCTTAAGTGGTGCTGAGTAGTCATTAGCGAGGCCAGGTGTGTTCTTGCTTACCCACAAATGCTGAGCAGCTGATATGCTATCAGCTTTCACAGCAAAAGCTCAGAGTGAACAAGGACACCCCGCAAGGGTAAAAGCACCATTCTAGAAAGTCAGTTTAACTCCACAAACACTGATACGCTTTTAGTAAAAAACACTTCAGCCTGTTTCAAATTAAGGCATTCACTGAGAAGGTCTGAGAGGACTGAGCTTGGTCTTGATTCAGTGCAGGGTTAAGGGTTTTAAGAAGGTGTGAGGAAAAAGGAAACAGTGAGAGAATCAAAGAATGGCCTGGGTGTAAAGGGACTTTAAAGACTATTTTGTTCCACCTCCCATTCCATTGACAGAGATATGTGTCATAAGACCACATTGCTCAGAGTTTCATGTGGCCTTGAACACTCCCAGGGATGCGCCATCCACAAGTCCCCTGGGCAACCTGCTCCAGTGGCTCAAAGCACCGGAAGCAAAGCAAAGCTCTTATCTCTTCGAAGCCAAGAGAGGCTTTGGATTAAGTCCCTTTGTTTGGAAGAGGAGCAGTTAGGAAGGGGCAATTGAAAGTGGCCAAATACTATGTATACTTAAATTTCACTCGGCAAGCAATACTTAGCCAAGCACTTGGATGTGCATACAGTAAAAGAGAATCAAAAGAACCTGCAGGTTTTACAAAAATACTACAGTCAAGGGCTGGATTGGAAAACTTTAATTGACAGAAGAGAGCAGGAGAATGGAGATATGAAACACTGCTAGAAAAAAGATTAATTTTATTGAACACTCCACCCTATATTAATCTTGAAAAGGAATGTCTAATATTTTCCTTGAATGAAGAGCAAAATCAAGGTAAATTTGCTTTAGCTTCAAAAAAATCACTTTTGTGATTGCCAAAAACACCCCAAAACCATAAAACAAACAAACAAGCAAAAAATCAATCAAACAAACAAATACATATCCAAAGCTTACAGAAGTTCACACAGGGGAATTAATTAGGTGGCAAGCAACTCTATACAGGCACAAGAGCAACTCTATACAGGCACAAGAAATGCCAAAGGGCCTAGGGCATAATGTGTGTCAACTTTATGCCCTGAGGCCAATACAGTTTTTTCATGATTTCAGGAACTTTTATACCAAGAATATTGACATTGTTCTGCCATAGCAAAAGAGCTGATTTTCTGCATTTTTTCCAAATCAGAGCACCAATTCTATTTAGTGGCACATTAATGAGGAAGAAACAAGGTACATTACTATCACAAACATTTATCTGGTCCAGAAAAGGTAGTCACATACACTGGAGCAGAATCACCATTCGTATGATTCTGAATTGGCATTTATTAAACAAATTTCT